AGCAAAGTATCGACTTCAGATTCTATAAGAAATTATTAAGAAAGTATTATAGCCTCCGTGCCCCATTTCACTGAACGTTTTCCTGCCAAATTGAATGATTTTTCGCTTTTCGGTAATTACGTATGCTAGGATTATTTCGGGTATAATAACACTTCGCTCGAGTAAATATAATATAGCCGCTATTTATTAAATACAATTTGCTGCTAGTTGTTCTGATGTAAGAATTTGTCGACAATTATTGTAATTATTGCTTCTGATTGCTTGGTTTAGTAATAATACAATAAAATCCAACTATTGCAATTATTGTTGATTAATACATGTAAATATAAACACTCGTGTATATCGAATGGTTAAATAATATGTGATTCCATTTCTTCTTTGTTGGTATTAAGAAAAAAATGGGAAAACATTAACTTCGGCTGCACCGATACTATTATCCCATTCATAAATACAAAACACTACTTTCAACAAGTTGATTTGGATTGACAGTTAAAATATATGCTATAGTGTCTCGGCGCAGTTTATGACATTGATCTCTGTGGGCAAGAAATAGTAAGACTTTCTAATTTATATTTCGCGCGAAAACCCATTCGTCCAAATATTTTTTCCTACGTCGGTATGACTGTCAGTGACATCTGTGCCAAATGTCATAGTTAAGTAATCACTGAAGTTTAGTATACGCTTGTCCTTCTGGAAATATCAAAAGTGGTTTACGATGCTGTCGAAACATTCAGGTGTAAGAAAATGCCTTTACCACTAGTGGTTTGTCGTGAACAAGCGTTTTTTGTTCGTACAAAATTATTAAAAGAGGGTCAAGAACGCGTTGCCGGCGAACCACGTCCAGGACGGCTATCAACATCAACAGATGATAAAAAAAAAGGATGTGGTGCTAGAGAATCGATGATTAAAAGTCAGTGATCGTACTGGCATCGTTGGAACGTCAGAAATATCAGTAAAAACTTTTTTGAGCGACCATTTAGGCCTAAGAAAAGTGAAAGCGCGATTGATTCCATAATCACTCAATTTTTTTGCAGAAATCTTAAACGATCGTTCCGGGGAAACCATTTTAAGTCAATAGAAGACATTACACATGGATTGCTATACGCATTCCGGTAATTGACTATAACAACTGTTTAAAGGATTGGAAAAAAAACGTTGGCACAAATGTATTGGGGATAAGGGGGATGGTACAGATTTTGAAGAAAAAATTAAGAATTTTAAGAATATTATCAATGTCTTACTAATTTTGCTCATAGTAGTATATTTTATAGGATCTCCGACGTATTTTTCTGGATGTTAAAAACTTTTTGGCAAACCCTATTCAAGTTATAAAAATGCTAACACTTTGTGCAAAATGGATACAAAATTGAAACATTTTTAATGAAAGTTTCCGCATTTTTAATATTTGAAACGATTAGTTTTTTTCGATCTATCCAGAAGCAGACTTGTTTTAATATTTGATTCTAAAATGGTTCGTTTTCAAGAAGTTACTTCAAATTCCTGTTAGTAATACAATGCTCAACGAGTTCCAAATTTATCTCATAGTACTTATCACTGAATACAATTCAATGACCTCATAAAGTATGGTTAAATGAAGGTAGAAGTGTTTTTTTTATAAAATAATGACAATATTTTGAAATTATTTGTTTAATTTCTTTAGATAAGATACTTAGAAATTATAAAAAAAAAAAAATACTTCGACAATGATATCAGCTATATTCGTTAGCATATCTGCTCAAATATTCTATCCTATTCTAGTTATTTCCTGATTTGGATTCTTGAGTCGTAATCATGTCAATTGATCAAACAAATAAACTTTGCACAAGAATACTTTCTATTGTATAAATAATAAAAGATATAACAAGACAACAACAAATGAGCGTTATAACGTTGGCAACAGTTGACGATTTGTCGATAAACAATGTCTGGGGAAGTTGGAAACATTTCTATAGTTACCGAAATTACAAGAAAATGCAAATATTCAACAACTTGCGCTGCGCGATAACGTGATAATGGGAGACAAGTGCAGCTAATGGGAGCGTACTAGGAATACAATAGACACAAGAAGTTCCAAGTCACAATTTCGCTTGTCTTTATTATATTAAATATTGTACATATTAGGGTGAACCAAAAACTAAACTATCGAATTTATGGGATAAATTTAACATTTCGAACATTCTAAATATACATATGTATATTAAGCTGACGTTGAGCAACACCAAAAGCTCCGTCAGAATCGGGAAGGACCTCTCCGAGCCGTTCGATACTAAACGAGGTG